CAGGGTAGCCATAACTCAGAATAGACTTGAAAACTCGTAACAAGATTGGAAATGTCACTGGTTTCTAGCTGTGCTTTTGTGTAAGGAGCAAAGCCCAGCCTGGTTGGAAGCTAAAGGACACTGTGTTTTTTCAGAATTTTTAATAATTTTAATATTTTTAATTTTTAATATTTTTTAATTTTTTAATAATATGCAGCTCCCCCAAAGATTTTCACTGAGATCACTGGATTCTTTTCAAGATTTTTGTGTATTCCCATCCCTAATATCTTATTTATGTCCATTTAAAAACCAGTGGCAGAACATTTCAATCTCCCTGGGCCTTCCATCCCAGACCTCAGAACAGCAGTCCTTGAACAAAAGAACTACAAAGGTAGATAATAATAATAATAATAATAATAATAATAATAATAATAATAATAATAATAATAATAATAATAATAATAATAATAATAATAATAATAATAATAATAATAATAATAATAATAATAATAATAATAATAATAATAATATTTATTTATACCCTGCCCCTCTGGGAGCAATCGAGGTGGCTAACAATGTTAAAATACAAGTAAAATACAAGATGGGAAAGAGAAACAGCAGAATTGGAATTTATCCACAAACTACAGTCCCTCAGCAATGGATTGAACAAAGACAATGGGTTTCTTATTCACTACACACACATCAACACTGTCTGAACCCATCCTCATAGGGGTGTCCTACATTCATCTATTCCTCTCATCACAGGCTAGTCCCATTGCAAAACTGGATCTGCCAGTTCAGCCCCATGCACAAAGACCAGTTTCCTATGTCTTAGTGCACTAACGGTTAAGACTGGACCTGCTACTTCATTTCCATACATATTTGTGATTTGAATTGATATCCTCACATGCATATGTCTGTGCCTGGCCTCCACTCTGCCAAATGCATCTGAGGAAGTAGACTGAAGTCTATGAAAACTCATGCTGCCAATTTCTTTCTTTCAGAAAAGAATCTCAGATCTCTCTACATACTGATTCTACAGACTAACACGGCTATATCTTTGAACACTCAACAATTTGCTTCTTACCATAACCCTGCCCCAGCCCTCCTGTCCCTAGGATGATATATTTGCCTGGTAAATTCTGCATTTGTTGTAGAACTGTATGCAGAAATAGACTCAAGTCCCTACCTACAATGGACAATGTCCCCAAGTTTCACTTACTTTTTATTTGCATGTAGAGCAATCTTGTAGCACCTTTGAGACTCACTTTTTAGTTTTAAAGGTGCTACAAGATCTCTCTACATACTGATTCTATAGACTAACATGGCTATATCTTTGATTTCTATTTACATGTTTCTTTGTATAAGGGGAAAAGAAAAACTACTTGAGGCAAGCCTCACCCCAACTATCAGTTTGGCCAGATGAGTACCTTTATTGTGGCTGTCAATATAAAATGGAGTTATGGTGCAAAAATGACCCATGCCTTTTTTGTGTGTGTGTGGGGGGGGGAGGGGAATGATGCACAGAAGCAGAAGGAAATGGTTCTAGTTCTTAATAGTTATTATATTATTGGCAACACTAAAGGCCTATACAGACTGCCAGAAATAATCCAGTTTGAGACCACTTTAACTGCCTTGGCTCAGTGCTAGAGAATCATGGGAATTTTTTTTCCCTGAGACATTGAGCCTTCTCTGTCAGAGAGCTCTGGTGCCACAATAAACTACAGTTCCCATGATTCCCTAGCACTGAGCCAGGGCAGTTAAAGTGGCCTCAAGCTGGATTATTTCTGGCAGTCTGTATAGGCCCTAAGAGCCCTTCATGGAAAAGGTGTAGTTTATTTTAGGGTAAGAAAATAGTTCAAGATACTAAATTAAAAAAACAACGACTCTCCACTTTGCTTATTTTGTTTCTCTGTTTTGTCTGGGTTTAGATGCTTGGATATAGCATTATCCTACCCACCCAGATAGTCCTTTGGTTGTGTTCGATTTTTAATACTCTGCTATACACTGGAATTCTCCAGGATACCTACCAGACATTAACAATGAATGGCTGAGGCTGGCAATGCTCACCTTCTAGATCAGATGAAAAATGTGCAACTGGATGAAGTTTTGCCTCTGCATGGAAAGCCTCTGATGGTTAGGGATAGGGATAGTCAGGGTGGCTATATATCCATTCTGGTGTCAGAAGCAGTAAGTACATCCCCATTGGACATGAAGTGAAGGATGCAATTTTACTCATGTCTTTTTGGCAGACCTTTAAGTGGCATCCAGTTGTCTACTGTGTGAACAAACTGTTGGACAAGAATAATAGAATCCTAGAGTTGGATGAGACCCCCAAGAACCATCCAGTCCAATCCCCTGCCATGCAGAAATACACAACCAAAGCATCCCCAATAGATGCCCATCCAGCCTCTGTTTAAAAACCT